AATGGACAGGATACATTCGCTTTCTCTCAACAAACTACTAAAATTCATAAAGGAGTCTGGTAAGTTTGCAGAGGAGCAATGAATCTGCACCCCACCTATATATCCCTTTCCTCTAAATCCTGTCTCTAGGCCTTAAATACACTGGGCTATACTGTCTGAGTGCTTGGAAAAATTTGTTTTTGGTTTTTACGGACATCCACAATTCCATTCCATTCCATTCCATGATGGTAATTACGTACTCGTGCCGGGCAATGACTTGATTTAATCAATCACGCAAACATATTAAATACTATACACACACATTTTATTATTGATCGACGAATTCGGCTTTTGCCAAGAAAATTACATTTGAACATATTTCAGCAATCAAATCGATAAATAAATAATTAGATAAACAAGCGACATAACAAATGGTACTTACGGCAAAAAAAAGTTAGAAAAACATCAGTCAGTGGGTGTGGGAAGCGTATGCAATTGAATTGTATGTATTCAAGTTTGTACTTTGCACACACACACATATGTGCATACATATGTACATACGCATCTACACGAAACAGTTTTTATATTCTTCCTTGCCGCATGGGAAACGGATACACAGTAGAAGTTCACATAATTAAATTGACATTAGATGCCGTTAACTTATCTAATGTCGTTAACGCAAAGCGCATGTACATATGTGCCGTGTCGCACAATCGAGGCGATCCGTTTTGGGGCGGGAAAGAGAGAGCGAGAGGAAAGCGTTGCTGTGCTGGGGTTAGAGGGTAAGTGTCGTCGACATTTCAGTATCAGCCTAAGAGTAAACAAAAAACAAAATTTAGATAAACTTTTGCTCCACCAATTGCCTCTAAGTGCGCACAAATACACATACATACAAAGAATTATATTCTACGGGTGTTTATTTAACTATTTTAAGCACCACAAAGCAAGTCGACTGTCGCGTAGAAAAATATGTATCTACACATTTTCTAGTTCTAAATATTAGCTTTTGAAGTCTAAACCTAATTCCACAAGCTGGCTGCAACTGTTAAACGCTTTTGGCCGTCAACAATTTACCCATCGACCAAAAAGTGAATTAAAAACACATTAAACACATGCGTGGAAATTAAATGAAAATCCAAGTAGCAAGCAAAGACATGGCAGACAACAAGGACCCTAAGTAAAGCATGTGTACAAATTTATAGCTATTTACTTGTGTGGGATGGTATACACTACATATTACACACCCACCCAAACGCCTATACGCAGCACACACACACACACACATACCCACTCTCATTTAAGTAGTTAGTCAAGTAAAGTGAAAGATGTTCTACAAATTGCTGGATTAGAGAGATGAGCAGGGAAGTTTTATTGTTATTGTTGTTGTTGCTGTTGTTGTGACTGTTGGCAGTTAGCAGCAGTCGAGTGGAAAACCAACTTGACTTGAAAGTTTGTAGGTGTAGATGTAAATACACCCCACCCACACACACACTGCCAAGGTTTTATACACTAGCACACACTAGCTTTTAACTGGAAGCTTGTAAGTTTGAGCTCATGTTTTTAACCCTTTCAGCACCGTAAGCATATATTATTAAAAAAACAACTTATAATTTTAATTGTAAATTCTGGTTCATCGCGGATTAAATAAGGTGAATCGGATATAAAACAAACAAATTTAATATAAAAGAAAATTATGTCTCCTAAAATTCTCATTAACTTCTATTAAACATTGTTTTTTTTTTTAAATTTATTTTCTTAAAAATAGGGTTTGGCCGAAATATAGGTTTTTTGCCAAAGAAATTTTTTTGAAAAAACTTTTTTCAATCTGTAGTTAAATTTTTTTTAACTTCATCAGATACTATATTCCAAAAAATTTATTTTTAATAATGCTTTTTTTATTGTAAAAAATATTTGTTCACCCAAAATGTTAAATCTTTAAAAACGATTTTTTCCTCTAAAAATTTTGCGCCTATATTCAAAAAAAAATTTATTTTTAATAATGCTAGTTTATTGTAAAAAATTATTTTTCACCTAAAATGTTAAATATTAAAAACCGATTTTTCCCTCTAAAAGTTTTGCGCCTAATATCATTTTTTTTGAATACTTATTACCAAAAATAATTTTTCTCAAAAGAATATTTTTTACGGCAAACATTTATTTTTTCTCCAAAATATCTTTAACTTAAAACATATTTTTCCTAAAAACAATTTCTTCTTCAATTTATTTTTTGCACATTTTTTTCTAAAAATTCAAATCAAATAAAATTTCTTACATACATATTTTGTCAATTTTTTTTCAACTTTGAAAAAATCTCTTTCTAAAATCTCATTATAAATATACTTATCTAAATGAATATGATGCACATTTAAAAACAGATAAAATATAGTACATATATACAACTTCAAAAAACATACACATTTTCTTATTGAGTGGAGTAGCTTTTTGGGAAATATGTTTCCCATGGTCTTGAAAGGGTTAAGTAGGTACATACATGTACATTTCAGTC